CTGCAGTTGTTAAAATAAACGCCGGACACTTTGACATACACATTAATATCTCTACCGAGATCCAGCTATTGATTCCCAGATATACATATGTGTGTGTGTGTGTGTGTATAAATGTATTATCAATTATTATTATATAGTGTATGTGATAAAAGTAATTAACATTCAGCTGCTAGTGAAAGTTACTTTTTTAAATATGATGTCACTTTACAATGTCTAGACATGTGTTACATTTTAAAGACAATAAACTATTAAAGATTTGTCTAAGATATCTTGTGCTTACCCTTATATCATTCATCGATGGAACATATTCCACAATCTTTAACTGGTCGACTGTTGGTGAGCATGGAGGTGCACAAGGGAGCATTATGCCACAGTCTTTGATAACTCCAGATTGTTTTTCTGACAGGTATACCCTCCTTAATTTCTCACTCTCCTTCTCTATCTGTTGGGAATTCTTTAAATTACTGTATATGGTAGAGGCTTTCTGAAGAACCTCCAAACTCAAAGAAGTCTGTGACGAACTGAGCCTGAAGGATTTGGTACTAGAATTTTGATTTGTTCTGGAGTTCTCTTGAGAGTTATCTGATGCTTCTTTCCAAGATCTATGATGAGGAACTGCTTGTACCTCAAGTATAGGACTTGATGACATTCTGACTGATTTCATTGCATCTTGATGGTGATTACTAAAATGCATTTTATGTTTCCCTCTTTTCTGCTCTTTTCTGGTTTTACATTTTGATTGTCTACCTTTATTTTTATAAAATTTGGACTTTTTCTTTCTCTGTAAAGGTTTGGTTGATCGGCTGGGTAGCTTGCATTTCTTGAGGTCTAAAAACAAACAAATTCAATGATTTATTTGGTTTCCATACTGAAAAACAGTCAAAAACATAAGGAATTGTAAAGTATAATGGCATAAGTATATTTTATAACATATAAACACATTGAAATTGAAATCAAACATCATCATGGATCATGGACAAAAGCTTGCAACTGTAGCCATTGATACTGTATCTTTGGTCTTTTATTCTAAAAGAAAAAAAAACAGCATGTCTAGAATACAGGGGTCCCAAGTCTCCTGGAACTCGCGGGAGTCTCCCGGAAACGAGACAGCCTTCCGCACTCCTGCAATCAAGCAAGAATCTCATAGAAATTAACTTATCTGTGCAATACAGTTTTACAATGTGCAGAAAAAATAAAATAAAAGCCAATGTGTTAAGAAAGCTCATTAACAAGATCAGTGGTAGTTTCAACGAACTTAAATAATTTAAAATTATTTTTTTAAAAAGGGGTAAATATATATTCAAATATAAGTCTTAGAGGGACATTTCTGGCCATCTAGGTGCTACAATCAGAATTTTCTTACCTCAGCTCCAACCATGGCTGGGGCTGAGGTGGGCTAGACCCTCCATCTCTGA